TTTGGTGTGTAAATATTTATTGAGTGTTTAAAGAAGAAAGCGGCGTGGTCAATTGCTGACAAATTAATGGAGTTGAGAGTAAAGAACAAAGTATATGGAGAACTTGATAAGAACTGTGGGATGATGATAAAGGAACCCCAATTTAAACATGTTGAGAGAATGGAAGAAAGGAATGGATCTCGTGACTACAGACAACTCTCTTAAGAAGTTTTATAGTCAGAGTAAAACATCAAAATGAGATGATAGTCAAAAGAGTCTTGGCATCAAGAGAAGGTTTTTCAAGTTGGTGATAATAGGGCATATTTATATACCAAAATGAATGACTCAGTAGAAAAGGAAAGTATCTGATTCAAGTGAGAGGAGGGCTAATTATACAAACGAAGTCTTTGGGAGGATAAGAAGGCATGGAAGATAGAGGGTTGGCCTTACATAGGAGCAAGGACCCTCCTATTGTAACAAAGAGGAGATAAATGTTATGAGTTTCAGATGCAGGGAAGTTGACAAAATTCATAGTTGACTTTTGCCTGAATTATTGAGATAGGGCAGCCCCAAGTCCTTTAAATTTTGTTATGTAAAATTCTTACCCAATTGTTAGTGGAGGTGTCATAATAAACCATAAAGTTCTGGAGACTGTCTGTATTATTATTTGGAGTTTTGTTGCAGTGTATGAAGCCATGTCTTCCACTGGGGTTTATGTTTTAGAAATAGAGAATATGATGGGGATGCTAACAGTAGACTACAGCTACTGCCAGCTGAGTGGCCATAATCCACTTGCTGGGTGCACACCCTTCTTTAGAGACATGGGCTACCTATGAATCTAACCCAGAAAATTTTTGTAACACTGAACAGAGGGGAGCTATTGAGGGAGATGAGGATGGGGTTAGCTGCTGCAGCATTTTATAAGTTTTCCCCAGAGCTGTTGAGAATTTGAGGGGATTGTTAGGATCCTAAATCCTTTTGAAAATAGCAAGGACTTCTATCATTTTTTAAAAGCCAGGGATAATTTTTATAAGCCAAAGGATGGGCTGGCCAAGTGGCTCAGTTGGTTAAGAGTGTGAACTCTGAGCAACAGGGTCGCTGGTTCGATTCCCACATTGGCCAGTGAGCTGCACCCAAGTTGAGCTGCCGCTGAGCTGCCAACAGGTGGCAGGATGGCTCAGCTGGTGAGAGTACGTGCTCCTAACAACAAAGTTTCCAGTTTGACTCCTGCATGGGATGGTGGGCTACGCCCACCCGCAACTAAGATTGAACATGGCACCTTGAGCTGAGTGGCTGCGAGCTGCCCACAGGCAGCCAGATGGCAACTGGACTTGGAGCTGAGCTAGCTGTGCCCTCCACAACTAAGATTGAAGGGCAACAACTTGGCTGTTCCCCTTCCCCAATTCCCCAATAAAATCTTGAAAAAAAAAAGTCAAGGGATGGTTCTGGAACTGTACAGTCTGAGTACTCACATGCACATACAATACCCACATGAGGTCTTTAAGAAGATGAAATGGGGAAGTAGGAAATACTATGTCTTGTAGAGAATGTCTGATTACTGATATGGTGAAAGCTTAAAGGTAAAGAATCCTATGCAACCTACTGGGATGTTCAAATATTCTTGAGCAATGTGAGAATTTTGTCCTAACAAAAGTGTCTTAATAAATAATATTAATGATAGGTTCAGTTAAAGTTTCACATAATTATTGAGCATCTTTCCATGAAGTTATTTTTTATACCTAGTATCTATTGTAATAACTCAATGCATATTATTTTTTTAACTATAAATTTTGAAACATTTGCAGGATTCATGAGTCATAAATATGTGAAATATTGGGATATATATTTTAATTCTTAAAATAGCAAATTCTAAGATAAGTAACTTTAATTTATTTATTCTAATTATTTCTTCCTTTAACAATTAATAAAGCTTTGGCAGAGGAAACAGATGATCTTATTTATGTAGTGAGATTTATGAGCTTTAAGAACAGGAAATGTCTCTCATTTATGGCCGCTTCTTCACAGTATGATAGTGAGTAGTTAGAGGCCAAGTTAGGCCTAGGGTGAGGGAAGATGATGGTTGATAATGACAGTGATATATTGAAAGTAGTGAGAGGTGATATAGAAAAAAAAATTGAGGAAAAAGGAATTATCACTGTTTATATTAGTTTATAAGGTTTGGGGGTTGAGCTAGGACACTGTAGCTAGTGATAGAAACCATGTCTATTTTTTTTTCGTAGTACTATACAACATTCTGTATTTGGTGTTTGACATTGGCAAATATTATGAGGCCTTCTGTTTCACTTTTCTAAAATTATGAAGCTTTTCCTTTAAAATAAACGTTCTTGGAATGCACTGAGATTTAAACCATTAGAGAAATATTCCAACTTTGGGGCATTGTTTGTGTTTGTCCTTTCGGTGCTTCTGCAACTGTTGTCTCTGGACAGTAGGATACATATATGGATTGCTCTCATTGTCCATCTTCATCCCTATCGCCTCCTTTGGGTCTAATTTGATGCCATGAGAGTCCTCATCAGTGAAGGAAATATCTCAGTATTACTACTTAATTGGGCAAGCTAAAGTCATTGACTTTTTGTTTCATGATTGACAAGAGGTCTGCTAAGCAATTAAAAAAAAAGATTATAGGATAGCTATAATGGCTAATATTAATTGACTCTCCCAAGAGCTTTGCATGGATCATCTTATTCACTCCTCAAAGCAACCCAATGAAGTAAACATTCATTTCTCTAACTTACACATAAAGAAAATGGCATAGAAAAATAAAGTAACTTGCCCCAAATCACCCAGTAAATTACTGGGCAATTCTGTCCAGTGGCAGAATTGACTGGAACCTTTGGCTGTTTGACTCTATAATTCTGATTCTTTAACATTTTTTTTTCACTATGGAAAAATGCTTTCTAAGTTCCAGTAACAAGTTTAATGTAGAATAAACAGAATTTTGTGAGCAGTCTATAAGTTAGGGAACATCAATTGTTACAGTATTTATTTGTTTGTTCACACTGGTGAACAATTATCTTTTTCACTCTTTCCCTAAAAATCATCTCTACTGTTGTGCCAAATAAGTATTTTTGCATAAATTGGAGAATTTTTAAGACTAAATTGTCATCTTGCCCTCATCATCTGACTTGAAAAGCCTGCCAACAACTTTACATTCTGTACAGAGTAGAACTAACACGTGGCCTGTGGTAAGCATTTCGCAAATGCTTACGGAATGAATTCTAATGGAATGCTAAAGATATCTACTATTTAGAATGTTCTCTTAAGCTTTGCAATCCCATTGGCTATTTCCACAAAGCCTGACTTTACACCCTGCAGAAGTACCGTGGGGTAGGGAAGATAATCAGTTCATAGGCCTGTAGCTATAGAAGTCGAACTACTTCAAATTGCCATAAATCAGATAGTTAATTTCTCATTTTTCAGTTTTTAGCAACACATGATTATTAGGTTCAGATAACCTGCTTGTCAAATTATCTCTCTGCCAAACTTCATATTCACAAAAGCCAATTGTACCTTGCTGGCTTCCAACTTCTCGTCCCTGTCTCCTAGTGCCTTATTCTAGTTCCCCAACACTGGGAGAAGTAAAGCCAGTGTCTTTAACCCTGTCTCTGAATCCAGACATGGTTAGTTGTGACTTGTTTCTAAATCTTAAGGTTCTCAACAGTCTAAAGGAACTGTTAGAAAACAGAGTTTTGGGTCAGTAGCTTTTGCACTTGTTTCTTTGCCCCATTCTTGGTGGCAGAAATGAAGCTTCCTTGTCTAGAGTTATACTCTGGACAGTTCGTTAATTATTTTGAACAGTCAAAACTGCTGCTTCACGGAACCACCTTTGGTGGACTTAGAAGTAGTTAGGAATGTGGGAACCCCCTTTGCCTCATGCTGGCTTCCTAGGATTGCAATGATGGAAGACCAATGTAAATACTTCTGTTGCTGCTCTTGGTCGTTGGTTTAGCGGCCTGAGATGGGAGATGGTCTCAAAATTCTCATGCAACTGCTCATAGGATCCAGGCTGGTTACTTAAAGGACTGACAATGGGCAGACATAAGGTGATGGAAAAGATGTAGACTCTGGTGAACTGGAGAGTACACGCCTCACCCAATAGGAGCGACCAGCTGCCACTCCTCGCCAGCTTGGTACTGCCACATGAGAACATAAGCCTGGTGTTGTAACACCACCCGTTTATGAAAGGAGCTTGAAATCTGAATCTTAATGTAAAAGTTTTCATTTTTCAGATGTTGGCTACTAATATGAATTTTAAAAATCATGGGCCAAATAAAATACATCTGTGACCTGAATATGATCTACAGGTCATCAGTTTGTGACCTCTGGTATGCTCAGTAGGTATTGAGTTCCCATGGGTGTCATTTGAGGAAGACTACGGTTGTATCATCAGAGTTCGTTTGTGCTGAAATTGGTCTTTCTCCCCGATACCACTGGAAAAGACTAGTACGTTGTTTCTTAAGTTTCCAGTTTCTTAGGAATTATGAAATATCAACTCTTTATCTCCATGGACAGAAACATTGGAGCTCTGATAAGAGTTGAATTCCTGAATGTGAGGCCACTAAAAGTTCAAAGAGAATGGTGGACCAAAGCTGCCAATTTCGGGACGCTTGTTTGAAATGTCAAAATTCCTTCTAAGTAGAAGCAATTGTAGTGATCGTATGTATTTCATTGATTCTTCAAAAGTCCCTCCAGGATATATCCTTCATCCTACATATTAAGAGGAAGGAGTTGCTACAAATCTAGTTGATACACTAGGGAAAATAGTAATTCTTAACAGCAGATGTAAGTGAATAAAGTGTGATTCAGCATGTAGGTAAAACTTTGTCATTGTTTCGTCTTTAAAGGAGGAAGAACTCAGAAAAGATACTTCTTTTTGGTTCTCTCCTAATATTCATTTTACTACTATGGAAACTAAGATGAAGGGTTAGTGGGTGATCTGTGAAGGGAGACTAATAATCTGGTTTTATTGAGTATATTTTCATAGAAATGCTCAGCACTAATGAATACATCAAAACCATACTTTATTTTATGTATAGCAATACAATTTACATATTAAATAACACTATAATAGAATGATTTGATATAGTTTTAAACAGAAGAAAAAGGGAAAAATTTCAGGTTACAAAACCCCTCCCCCTGAACATATTAAAAAAAAAACACCACTTTTTCCAAATGGGTCAATGCAACGGATGTATTCAGTGACTATGTCTAATTCCTATTGCACAAATGGTCAGCGGAATTAAAAAAGAAATGCCAAATTTCACAATCACTGCCTCAAAGTAATAACACGTTGGATTCTTTTGGAATGCAAAGATGGTTGTTGCTACTTCAATACACAGAAAGTTGAATTCACATATCCACCACAAAAAAACAAAAAACAAAAACAAACTATGACGGAGTTGAAACTAGAAAAAAATTAGCTTTATATGAAAATATAAAATTCTATGATTATATACCATAGATACAAAGTTCCCAGAAGATGCTTATCCAAGCAACAAAATATTTACAGTTTCAATGATTTTAGCTATTTCAAAATGAAGTGAAAGAAATACGAATCAACATGAAGGCTGAGTTTTTGTTTTTTTATAGAAACAATGGCTGCTTGCTAGTTTCAAATGTCCTAACAAAAAAGGAGTCACTACCCCAAATGTTGGAGAGTTGCGACATTTTATAAAATCGGCTGTCTCCTTTTCTGGAGATGTTTATTTCTTAAAACTCAAGATATTTTTATTGAAATTAATTATCCTCTGTAGAAAATGCTTCCCTTTGCAAATATTTAACAAAAATACTAAAAACAGTTTAACAGCTAAGACAAAGTAGAGGCCAAATATTATTACAATCCCTTCCTGTTTGTCTCATTCCTTCTTTCTAGAGATAAGTAAAGCCAATAATGTATGTTAAATGGCAATTAAGGGAAAGCACAAAGGGGTAAGTGAAATTACAGCTGTTTCCTTTTTTTAAAAAAAGCAGGCATTTTCCCTTCATATAAAAAGTCACTGGCACCATTTGAACAGAAACTTTAGAACATACGAGTTGAAATGCATTTTCCAGTATAACTGCTAAATTCTTAAGACAAACTACATTTTGATTATTTCTTAAATAATGATGAGTTTGAGTTTCTTTTTCTTATTTTTTGCTTAGAATTAGTAATATGTATCTTTGGTAAATTGGTATCTATATTTTAATTTTTAAATACAGTCTATGCATTTAAGAAAAATTCATAACAAGGCAGTTGTGCTGTGTTATTAAAAAATAACTAAGGGTATCTGTTGATTTAAACATGTCACTCTGGGCTAGAAACTCCAACAGCCAGACCTTGAACACCATAACCTTCTCTGACCTTGCTGGACTCTTCAAATTGAAATAGACTCTAAAAGCTCCAAGGCATAAAAAATTAGGAAAACCAATTATCTTATTCTTGAAATTCTGGTTACCTTTTTTTTTTATTAAAAAAAAATATTGTGGCTTTTGGATGCAAGAAATTCTCCTGATGGAAATAAGGTGTTTTTTCTCTGATGTCCAGCATGTCCACTCGGTCTGATCATTGCAGCTCAAGTTTGAATGATGTGTGCGTTCTGTTTACCTAGAGCTATATTCATATACCCAATAAGCTTATCTTGTAAAATAGCACACATTAATTTATAATAGCTATTTCCTTTCCCCCTGAGTGCAAGTGGTAATAACCTTGTTATGTAGTTAAGCAATGTGCTTATGTCTCAAAGAAAACACTGTCTTTGAAACTCTGCCTCTGGAAAGATGCAAGCATGTTTCTGCCAATAATAAATGAAGAATAATAGTGAGGACACACTCTGTGGTATACAGGAAGAAATGCTGTATAGAGCTCTCCTCCGGGAAGTGTGTTTGGGTCACTTTGGCAAGATGGGCAAACAGTACTTGTTCATAGTTCAGTGGGTCAGGATTTGTAGGCTGTAGTTCAAACCCACTGTAGACACACAGTTGACTCAGAGAATTTCTAAACCATTCTTGTAACGTTTCTATTCTATTTACTAGCGGTTGCTTTCGTCATGATTCTGATGCCCATGTAAGAGATTGTCTCAGAATTTGTGTTGGAGGGTGTGCATTTCCATGAATCGAGCCCCCTGTAAGTAGCACAAAAGGGAATACTTGCTATGTGTCTTCGAACCAATGTTTACTTTTATATTCAGAAAAAATTACTGAGAAACCATGAACTCCAGTTCGATCATTACTTCTGAAAGTCAAGTCCATGGTGGCAACTACTGGAAAGAGTTCGCTCATATCAATACTCTCTACAACTAAAGTAACCTACTTAATTGACTAAAACGACCTAGCTCTTGCCATTATCGGAAACCTTTCCCTTCCTGATTCCCTTTAGCCTTCTTGGCAGTTGTAGTGGTCCTATGTTCAAGCTTTTTCTGGTGTTAGGTAGAGCTTCTGATGGCAGCAGAGGGGTTAAAAGTTGTCTTTGTTATCTAGCACAAACAATTTAGCAAACTTTGCTCACTTGCACACCTTTTCTCAAGCCTTGCCCACAGTTTGTGAGCAGTGGACTATTCTGTGTTGCTGAATCTATGTGATAAGATGAGATTAACCTAACCCTGGCAAGTTATGCAGTTCATGAAAACGGCATGGGAACTCCTGGTTTTGGCCTGTAGCCCCTCTCTCCTTAGCAGCTTTGGTCCTTCAGCACCATTCTGACAAACTTCACAGGAAGCCAACTCAAGATAAGCAGAACCTCAGTGCTGACTGACGACCATTGATGTTCTAATGCTTACCTGGGCAGTATAATAATAGCCAGTGTGGACTTTGTGTTTAAGTTTATTGACATAAAAAATAACCGAAACCCTTTTCTTCTTATTCCTAACAGGCCCAGTGCTGGTGGTGATTTCACTGCTGACAGAAGCTGTTCCTTAAAAGCAAATAAGATCTCAGTAAGTAGCTTATTTTTCTAACTAATGGAACTGAACTTCCTAATTAATGCTCCTATAATAATTTTGCCATTATGTACTGGGATGAATATGGCTCCAGATGCTAGACCAAATCACCTCCTTGGGCTGTGTAACGCTCAGCAGCCTCTTTTATTGGAGTGTATCTGTTCTTGAGGCTAAATTACACAAAAGCACACAAAGCCGTCTCTCTCTTTTAAAAATTATTTAAAAATGCAGATATCACCTTTTATTCAAGATTCTAATTCTCTCTCCAAATTAGATTAATCCACGTGTGGGAGTTTAGACAGTCCTAAGACTGTTGCTAATACAGTATTTTCAATTTAATCCTAAGTAGAAGAATGTATGTAATTATGAGATTTATTATGAAACATGTGGCAAAAAGGAAAGAAAAGAATGTTAACTATATAGGTAGCTTTTATTAGATTGCTGTATGAGTCATAGGGATTTTAGAGGACTAGTTTCAAAATTACACACCTGTAAAATTTTCATTATTCCACCTGCGGTGAGGTACATTATTATAAACCAAGAAGCATTAATGGAGAGTCATTAAAGGGTTTCATAACTCAGTTGTGTAAAATATTGTCATCTCTCTATTGTAAAAGATAGTCCTGATTTTAGGGTGTAGCTATTTCAGAGAGTCAAAATGGAAACAACACACACTGTTCACATAGCTACTGTAAAAACTGTAATAGAGATATCCTTTATTTTGACACAATTGGGCATTTTTTAAATGAATATAAATTTGTAACTAATAAGTGATGTTCACATGAAGCAAATCTTAAACCTTCTAATTTCTTAATTGGTATCTTAACCATCATAAATGGAACTGTTTCAAGGCCATGAGGTTGACAGACCTTCTTAATATCTCCCAATGACCTTCTGTTTTTAAAAGAAAACAAATGTTCATCCACACCATTAAAATACAGAAGGAATACAGTATCGAATAATGTCTAAAACAAAATAGGAGAGGAAGACTGAGGAAAAATACAGCATTGCCTGCTAGTAGAATGCAACTGCTTTAGCAATAATAATAATAATAATAATAATAATAATAATAATAATACTAAAATCAAGATTCACGCTCATTAAGAAAGACCTTCACTGTATTGAACTAAAAAGTAGCATGTATGTTGTTATGGAATGTCACATCAGGGTTTGCTTTAGGATTAGATTATAGGCAGTAACACTGATCATATAGTGCAAACTAGGTAAAATTGCGTTTCACTGGGTGAAATGAACAGAGGTGCAAATGCTCAGTAGAATACCATTAAGACATAAAATGGCAAAAAATAAATATCAAAACTTTTATCAGTGTAAAAAAGTAACTGGGTTATTGTATAACCTAGAGTCTGGCAAAAAAGGCCTCAAAAAAGTTCTCGGTCTTCTGAAGTTTTACAAAGTAAGTGCCCGTTCGGGATTCCAATCACACTAGGGATTCCATGCTCTCGGCAGGGTCGGATTCATCAGCAATTAGAACAGCACCGTTTTTGTCCACCGTCATGGGACCGTTTCCATTTTCTTTAGTGCTGACCAAGCTGAGCATTGCTTTATAGACAAACTGGTATTGTTCCTGAAAAACAAGAGGAAGACCCTTTGAGCCGAAGAACAGCTAACATAGAAATACCAACTAAAAATGTACGTGTGCAAATCATGCTAGAGAAACAGGAATATACAGTTAAATGCTGTCTAAGAAACTTAAAAAATATATTTTGAGTCTTTATAGTCAAGACCTATGCCTTCTTGATGTCCTTTTGATCGCTGTTAGCTTGGAACGAATTCTCAATGTTGACAGTAATTTAACAGAATACCCATATCTTAAAACTAGAGAATACTATACTCTAGAACAGGGGTCGGCAAACTTTTGAGATGGAAAAGCCGCCAGGGGTCAGTAAACTGCGGCTCATGAACTGTGGCTCTGAAGTAAAATTGAAAATGCAAATAAAACTATCATAGTTTCATTTATAAAATTTTTAAAGGATATTATTCACATAATGGTTATTATGTGAAAATATATTTCTGGCTCTCGAATAATTTTTAAATTGTTGTGAGGGACAGGATTGGCTCTTCCAGGAGTCGGCAAACTTTTGAGACAGAACGTATCCAAAGAGCCGCATGTGGCTCACAAGCTGTGGTTTGCCAACCCCTGCGCTAGAAAGCAGTTTCTCAGTCCCTGCACTACCGACACTTTGGGCCAGATAATTCTTTGTTGTGGAGCTCTGTCTTATGCATTGCAGGATGTTGAGCAGTGTCCCTGGGCTCTGCCCACTAGACACCAGAGTACTTCCCTCCAACTCCTGTTGGAACAACCAAAATAAATCTTCAGACATTGCCAAACATCCCCTGGGGGATTGCGGGGGAGACGGGGGTTTTGTGCAAAATCACTCCTGGTTGAGAACCATTGCTCTAAAGCATGAGCCTGAGTTTCAACTGAAGTCGTACAGATTTCATAAATAAGCAAAGTACTTACAATGTCTGTGAATACTCCAGGCCTCATAAGATTGATCATTTTTGCAACCTGGAAAACATCCACAGCATTTTCATTCTCTAGTTGCTGGGACAGGGTGGTAAGGGCACACAACATTCCTGCTGAAACTGCTCCATACCTGGGGGAAGAAAAAAAAAATGCTACTTCAGACTTACTAAGGCACTGAATATGTTGGAATGAAATGACCATCACATATTTTCATAGAAGCTAAGTAGACTGTATTGCCACTTATTCTAGGATACAGAAATGAATGAAATCACTGGACAGGGGGTGAGATTTTGAGGCTAAATCTTTAGATAAAGATGTTTATGAATGTGAAACCTCCCAAACTGGCTTATCAGATCCTTAGCTTGATATTTAATATGAAATGAGAGGTTCAACATTAGACTTGGGAGAGATATAGAAGATTTGGTGTTGGGGACAAGTTAGGTGAAATAACAGGTAAAATCAAATAATATGAGAACCTTAACTATAGGCTATTGAACAAGTAGAAGGGTGAAAAGAGTCTGAAATTTTTTTTTCAAACAATCCCAAACAGCTAAATTGAACTTACAAAATATGAATAAAAATGGGAATGTATTGCTCAATGCAGTCAAGAATTCTCAACGTAAGTTTCATATTAAGTAATTATTTTTGGCACTGAAGTGGAACTTTTCAAATGAAGGTACCTTCTATAAAATTCTTGGGAAAAGATGGTTCTCTTTGCTTCACATACACAAAAAAAGGCTTAGAAGAATAATGGACTTTTTTTTATCAGGCAAGGCTGGCAACTCCATTTTTTACAGGAACCGGTGACGGCACATAGCTTCCATATTAGTGATGAGAAAACAAATGGATTAAATAAAAGTGGTAAAGGTGGTGTTTCTAGTAGAAATGAAACTAGAACTTAAGATGCCCTGTGCCCACTGTTCTGTTAAAAACTATTAAATGTGCAGTTTCTGAATTGTTCTTACATGAAATTAAAACATTGCAGCTAGGTGGCACAGTTGGTTAGAGTGCGTGCTCTTAACAATAAGGTAGCCGGTTTGACTCTCGCATGGGATAGTGGGCTGTGCTCCCCGCAACTAGATTGAACACGACACCTTGAGCTGAGCTGCTGCTGACCTGCCAATGGGCAGCCGGATGGCTCAGTTGGTTAGTGCATGTGCTCTTAACCACAAGGTTGCTGGTTCAACTCCCGCATGGGATGATGGGCTGTGCCTCCCTGCAACTAGATTGAAAACGACGACTGGACTTGGAGCTGATGGGTTCTAGGAAAAACATACTGTTCCCCAATGAAGTTAAAACACACACACACACACACACACACACACACACACACACACACACACAAACATTGTAGATGTTTTACATCTTTAATCTAAATAAGACCAGTGTCCCCCTAACCACCACCCCAACTTTAAACTATCTGGAGGTAGAAATTGTTATATTTTGAGATGCTGTCTTCCAAATTCAGGTGTATCAGTGCATTCCAATCCAGCCTGTTATTTCAACTGCGGCATGCAGACTGGACTTACTCATTTCCCTAAGGACAGATGTTTAGGCTGTTTACGAATGTTGTGCACATTAGACGGAGCGCCAGTGTATAGAAGAGCTAGTCCACAGGTGTGCCCATTTTCCATTTCAAAGATATTGCCATATTTCTCTCCCAAGTGGTTATTAAATGTTTATATTCCTCCCAGCGTAAGAATATTTGTTTCTTCTCATCATTTTAAAGTTAAGTGCTTTTGCTAATTTGGTGGTACAAAATTGTACCTTACTGTTGTTTTAATTTGCATTTTTTGATTACCAGGGAAGTTAGATACCTTTTTGTTTACTGAACATCTGTATTTCCTCTTCTGAAATTGCCTATTAATAAACGTGGGCCATTTTTCTGTTAGGTTTCTTTTAAATGAACTCATAGAAGTTATTTTATACTATATGTGACACATGTTGCAAGTATTTTTCTTTCCAATTTCTAGTTTCTCTTAACATTGTTTGTGTGACATGTGAATGTGTTTATGAATGTGTTTATGAAGTATAGTTTAGATGTAATCAAGTTTATCAATCTTTCATTTTTGGATTTTTTTGGAATCTTGTTTGAGAATGCTTTCTCTAGCCTACTATTTTACATTGTTCTGATTTTATTTTTTACATTTAATGAATTCATCTGAATGTTATTTTTGTTTTGATGTAAAGTAGGTTCTGATTTTAGTTATTTTTCCAATGGATAATCAATTGCCCCAGCATTTTTTACTGAACAGTCTCATCTTGTCTCATTGACTTGAACAGCCGTTTTATCATATACTAAATTCTCACATATGCAGGCCTATTTCTGAACTCTCTGTTTTTGCCCTTCAATCTGTTTGTCTATTTTTTCATTTTGCCACATTTGTTTTAATTCATATAGGTTTTTAATAAGTCTTGATATCTATAAAGCAAGATTCCACAATAGTTTTGGCTATCTCTACATTTATTTTCATATTATTTTTAGTGTTTCAAACATGTTATTTTTCATTTTTCACTTGTACACTCATTTCCAAATACCTCTACCCTCCCATCCCATCCCATCACATTTCATATTAATTTCAATTTGTTAAGAATATAAAACGTTTTGTTGTGATTTTGGTCAGGTGGCATTGAATGTACATCTATCTGAGGAAATGAACATCTTTTTTATTTTTTCTGTTCATGAAAATGATGTCTTTTCTCTGTTTATTCAGATCTCTTATGGCTTTCAGTTAGATTTTATAGTTTTCTTCATAGTCTTTGCTAATTCACTTTAGGTTAATTCCTAGGTACTTGTGAGTTCACTTAAAAAAATGGACTCATGACATTTTCTGTTTGGTTTCAGTTGATGTACTACAGGAAAGTTGATTTTCACGTGGTGAACTTGTATGCAGCCACAGAGCAGAAATCTCTCTAAGCTCTAATAATTTGTGGTTTCTCCAGGAAGCTGGTTACATCTTTATCTGCCAATAATGCCAATTTTGCCTCTTTTCAACTTTTATACTTCTTACATCTTTTTATTTTACTGTGTTGGTTAGGACCTCAGTAGTTTTGTATTCTACCACTGCAACGATGTATCATGTTATATTCTTTAATGGTAAAATGTCCAAATTTTTAATACTAAATAAAAATGTTTGTTATAGGCTTCTGATAAATAACATTGATCAAGTTAAAGATGATGCTGTACACTTTTAGTTTGCTGAGAGTGTTTTCTTTGGGAGGAAGGGATTGTGAATGGGTGTTACTTTATTGTATGCTTTTCAACATCTATGAATTTTTTAAGAAATACCTTTTTATTTAAAGATTTTATTGGGGAATTGGGAGACGGGAACAGTGTTGGGGAATCAGGTATGGGGAACAGACAAGTTGCTGTCCTTTGGTTCTTCAGTCTAGTTGTGGAGGACGTCGCTTCATTGGCCCATGTTGGTTTTATCATTGCGCTCTTCCTGGGTGAGGCAGATTGGTCGCTGTCCTCTGGAAGGCCGCACACCGCGGCTCTTGGCAGCTCACACCGGCTGCTGGCCGCTCATGCTGGTTGCCAGCCACTCACGGTAGCTTATGGCAGCCCACTGTAGCCTCACTGCAGCCTATGCTGTCACCGGTGACTCACGGCAGCCCAGTTCCAGGTCGAGCTGTTTGTTCACCATCTTAGCTGTAGAGGGTGCAGCATCACTGGCCCTAATGTGGGATCCGAACTGGGGCACTGCTGCTCAGAGCTGGCGTCCCAAGCCAACTCTTACCCAACGCACCACTCAGCCAGCCCAAGAAATACCTTTAATGTCCTGAATTCACTGATTTTTGGTAACGTTTAACCAGCTCTATATTCCCAGGATAAATCTTACTTTTTTATGATGTATAAATATAACACAATGGGTTTTATTTAATGGTATTTATTTGGATTTTTGCATCCATATTCTAATAAGACTGACCTATACTTTTCCATTCTGGTGCTGCTGGCCTTTTTTTTTTTTTTTTTTTTCTTAAATCAAGCTAACATTAAATCTGCCCTCTGGGTGTTATTGTTCAATTGTAGCCTGTCAAGACTTAGTGGGCCTTAACAGTTTTGATTCAATTCTTATTAATCAGTTCTTAATATTCAGTTCTTAGTAATCACCAATGTGTGGTGTGCTCTTACCATTCCCAGGCTCTCTTTGAGATATTTCATGTGCACCAACTTAATCTTCACATGTAGGTATTATTATTACCCCATTGTGAAGTGGAAGGAACAGGGCACATTCAAGTGAAGTAACTGGCCAACATCTCAGAGCTTGTGACTAGAGCTTCTATTTGAGCCAATACTTGTAAATGGCTCAGAACAGAGACTCATAAGTCTACCATATGGTTAAAAAGTATCATTTATTATGCTTGTGAGCTAGGGTTAAACATTTATTAGTACAGAGTTATAAATAGTTTCAAATGTTTATTTTATATCCTTTAAATATTTCTATTATTTTAATCTTTTATTATAGAAAAGATCAAACACACAAAGTACAGTAACCCTCATGTAGCCATCACTAAATTACAACAATTATCAGCTGAAGGGCAATCTTGTCTCATCTCTACTGCTTCCCCCAGATATTTTGAAGCAAATTCCAAATATTTTGTTCATTAATATTTTAGTATAAAATTCTAAAAGGATTTGAAAAAAATAAACATCACACCTAAGGTTATTAACAATTCTTAAATGTTTTCATGTAAATACAGCTAAATGGTGGGTGTTTTCTTTTCCATTTTCCAAAGTCGTATCTTTTATTAGACTTTATTGCTTAAATTTTACTATCTCCTCCCTGCTCCCATTTGCTTTTATCTTTTAATTCCTTGTACTTTTTGTGGATTTATCTGGTTCTTTTTCTGGCTTCATGAGTTGAAACTTAGTTTAGTTTTAATCTTTTCTCCAATATACGCAGCTTAGGCTCTAATCTTTTTTCTCCACGTGTAGTTCTCCTGGTACATCATACTAGGTTTTGAAATGCAGTGTCTTCATCTTCATTTAGCTTTAAGTATTTTCAGTACCTCTTTAGCCCATGAATTATCTATACATAATTCTAGATATAAGGACTTCAGTGTCTAGGTATAAAGATTTGGGGTCTCATTTCATTGTTGGTTTTTAATATTAATGCTCTGTAATCA